TCACCCACTCCGCAACGTCACCCACTCCGCAACGTCACCCACTCCGCAACGTCACCCACTCCCTATCACCACCCACTCTGCAACGTCACCCACTCCGCAACGTCACCCACTCCCTATCACCACCCACTCCGCAACGTCACCCACTCCCTATCACCACCCACTCCGCAACGTCACCCACTCCCCGTCACCACCCACTCCCCGTCACCACCCACTCCCTGTCACCACCCACTCCCTATTACCACCCACTCCGCAACATCACCCACTCCCCGTCGCCACCCACTCCCCGTCGCCACCCACTCCCCGTCGCCACCCACTCCCTATCACCACCCACTCCCTGTCACTACCCACTCCGCAATGTCACCCACTCCCCGTCACCACCCACTCCCCGTCACCACCCACTCCCCGTCACCACCCACTCCCCGTCACCACCCACTCCCCGTCACCACCCACTCCCTGTCACCACCCACTCCCTAACGTCACCCACTCACTAACGTCACCCATGCTATGACATTTCTCTCTACCCTCGGGTACTGTATCCTGAGAGGGGACTGGTAACCATGATGTACCATTAGACTGGTCTGTGACTGTGCATGACAAAGTGCTGCAGATGTTTGCTTTTGCCTTCTGGAGGTTGGCTGACCAGGAATCTCTCCTGATCTTACTACCTGCCATCGGGTGTGTTGGACAGATTTACAGACTGATTCTTAACCTCATCGGGTCTGTTTCAAAGAATCCAGACCTGCAACGGGATTTGAACCTGGAGCTTCTGGCCCTGGGGTGTTGACACTACCACTCCACCCCAAGACATCTGCGCTAACATTGCTAAGTGTAATTTCTAGGCAAAAGATGATTCTTCTTTTCATTCTCTCTACACTTGGGAAGACACGTAACCCTCATCTTTTTGAAAAATATTTCAATTATTGTGGCAAGCTCTTGTGTAATCCTTGTACCTTCGAACACAGGCAAATCAGCACGGTGGTCATTTCATCGCCAATCCCTAATTGCTGTGATGCAATGACGCTGGTGTGGGTCTACGTCATTGTCTACAATCCTGGTGAGGATGAGTTAGGATCAGCATGGGGTAATCCCAGCATAGTGGCCTATCGCTGTCAATGAAGAGAGTAGACAGCCCCCTGTAAAGACAGAGTTGTGTGCGGGGTCTCAAGTCCTAATGGAAAACGCTGCCATTTGTTGCAGTCACTGGGTCAATCTTGGGTTTGTGTGATTAGGTAAGATTGATAATAGTGAATTGCTGGCCTGTTTTGCATCCTCTCAATCTGAGTATCGATAAAAATGAAAAGTGGGATCGATGTAAAACAGGTTGCTGGCTCATTATCACAGTTTCAGACTGAAGTACATCACACTCTAATGTGTTATTTGTAGACAGCAGCAGGCATTATGTTCAGGGTTTACTGAATTGCTCTTGTTTTTGCATCATACCAATCCCTAATGACCCTGTATGCACTCCCCACCACGCTGTGTCCATGCAGCATCTCAAGACTGCAGACCCCAGCTGTTTAATCACATCCCTCCTCCTTAAAAACTTCTTCCCTAAACAGGATAAACTTCATCAGTGATCGTCATCCTGTTACTATTACGTGTGTGTTTTGATTAATTTAAGCTCTTTGGTTTTCTGTTAAAGGGCTTCACATTAACGTTACCGTCAAAAACGATTTCTAAACCTTGTTTGATATTCTGGCAGCCTGTATCAGGATGATGGAAATTGTTGTCAAATGCTTCATGGTGTCGCTAAAACATCACTGCCCCTGCCTCTTTGCTTTTATACCTGATATTCTGATAAAAAATTAGCTTCAGTGCCTCAATAAGGCTACTGTGTAAATCTCTGCAATGATCCAAACACATAACAAAACATCTGCAGAAGATCTTAAAAAGGTTCTTTGTTAAAAACGATAATGAAGGTGCTTTCATGATTGAGAAGGTAGTAGCCCAGGCCTCTCACTCTCCCTTTCTGAAAGGGCATTTTCTTATTTTACAGACTGCAAACCAGGTTCACAATGTGTGTGCTGAAACTTTATCTAGCTGCAGAGCTAGCAGAGATTCAACGGACAGTATTTTCAGTCTTTGGGGAATAGTGCATTTGAAAGGGCCATTCACCGCACAGCTTCCTTGATTCTCACAGCTACATCAGTTGGTATAAAAAATCCCCCCACTTTCAATTTGTGCTGCTCTCTATATCTCTCTCTCTTGGGGGCTATTTCTTCCAGACACTCGCCATTTTCAAATGATTTTTGTCACGTTGTCTCTTACTTGTGGAAGGGGCCCTTGTGCTGTGGTGGTAATGTCTCTACCTCTGAACCAGGATGCTCAAGTCATACCTGCTCCAGGCATATTTAATTATCATAGAATCCCGACAGTGTGGAAGTAGGCCATTCAGCCCATCAAGTACACAGACCCTCCTAAGAGCATCCCACCCAGATCCACATCCCCCTATCCTATCCTATCCCTGTATTCCCCATGGTTAACCCACCCAGCCTGCACATCCCTGGATACTATATGGGCAATCCACCCTAACCTGCACATCTTTGGACTGTGGGAGGAAACCAGAGCACCCGGCGGAAACCCATGCAGACACGGGGAGAATGTGCAAACTCCACACAGACAGTCACCCGAGGGTGGAATCGAACTCGGGTCCCTGGCGCTGTGAGGCAGCAGTGCTAACCACTGAGCCACTGTGCCACCCAATGTTACTTAATAATATCTCTGAACAGGTTGATTATGAAAATGTTATCTTCAGGGCCGGGTGATTTTGTTTGACCATGACAGCTACGGTGCAGCACTTACATACAACGCGCAGAGAGAGGGACCAATGACCGTGGGACATCTTGCACTGAACAGTTCTGAAGACAAGTCGTATCAGACTCAAAGTGTTAACTTTGTTTCTCTTTCCACGGATGCTGCCAGATCTGCTGAGTTCCTCCAGCGTTTTCCGAGCTTGTTTCAGATTTTCAGCACCCCCATTTTTTTTTTGCTTTTATATGAACAGCAATCGCCTACTCAGGCAGACTCCAGGTCCAGGTGTCAGAGTTGGGGAGCCCTGCTCAGCAGGAAGCCCACTGGTTACTTCAAAGGCATCCCACTCACAGTGTGCTGTGTCTCCATTTGTCTGCTAACATCCAGATCTGGGGAGAGTTGCGTATTCTCAAGGGGCACAGGTGCCAGGCTATGGCACAAATAGGAGCAAGGAACATACGGCACGGTGGCTCAGTGGTTAGCACTGCTGCCTCACAGCACTATGGACCCGGGTTCGATTCCACCCTCAGGCGACTGTCGGTGTAGAGTTTGCATATTCTCCCCGTGCCTGCGTGGGTTTCCTCCCGCAGTCCAAAGATGTGCAGATTAGGGTGGATTGGCCATGCTAAATTGTCCAGGGTGTGCAGGTTAGGTGGGCTAGCCATGGGGAATACGGGGATAGGGTGGAGGACTAGGTCTGACTGGGATGCTCTTTGGAGGGTCAGTGTGGACTTGATGGGCTGAATGGCCTGCTTCCACACTGTAGGGATTCTTTGTGCCAGCAGTTCATGCCAGACAAATTTCTGAAAGAATGTCAATTAACTATCAAACAAGTGAAGAGGAAGGCTCATTTTAAAAGAGGCAGCAAATTTCTCTGGAGCTCCTCCAGACTAGCACCCTGAATCATTTTTTAAATTCGTTTGTGGGATATGGGCGACACTGGCTCATTTATTGCCCATCCCTAACTGCCCAGTGGGTCATTAAGAGTCAGCAAGATTGTTGTGGGTCTGGAGTCATATATAGGCTCATGCAATTTCCTTCTCTAAAGGACACTGGTGAACCAGATGGGTTTTTGGGCAATTGACAATAGTTTCATACATATCACTAGATTCTTAATTCCAGATTTTTTTTTTTAAAATGAATTCAAATTTCACCATCAGCTATGGCAGGACTGGAACCCTGGTCCCCAGGACATCAGCTGGGTCTCTGCATTAATAGTCTTCTGATAACAGCAACATGCCATCATCGCCCCTTGAGGCAGAGTGAGTAAACAAGTTTCTGCCAAAGTTACGATGGGAAAAGCACAAGGGTTTGGGTTAAAAACCCGTTTTTAATGACTCCCCAGAGTGCCGCAGAGCCTACAGGAGTGGAATAAATTACCCCCATTACAATGCAGCCAGCTGCTGAGAAGCAGTTTTAAGGCATAAAAGGCGCTGCCATTGGAGCACAAAGCTCCCCATTTTGTTCCTAACAGCAGCATCCTCACACACTGTTTCACAATGAAAGATCATGGCGGCATTGTGCCAACCCAACACTGTTCATAAGCCTCGTGGTATCATTTCTTCCTCACAATTAACTATCTGTTATTTGCAGCAAACACCTATTCCTAAGGCTGGAGCGTAGGAGGTCGAGGGGTGACCTTACGGAGGTTTATCAAATCATGAGGGGTATAGATAAGGTGAACAGCAAGTGGTTTTTCCCTAGGGTGGGGATTTCAAGCCTAAGGGCACATTTTTAAGGTGAGAGGAGAAAGATTTAAAAATGACATGAGGGGCATTTTTTTTTTACATAGGGAGTGGTTTGTGTGTAGAATAAACTTCCAGAGGAAGTGGTGGATGCAGGTACAGTTACAATGTTTAAATTTAGATGAGTATATGAATAGGAAAGGTTTGCAGGAATATGGGCCAAGTGTAGGCAGGTGGGACTAGTTTAGTTTGGGATAATGGAGAGCATGGACTGGTTGGACTGAAGGGTCTGTTTCCATGCTGTATAACTCTATGGATGTCCAGTGATTGTGGGATTTGTAACACTATGTATCAGCTTAAAGAGACAAGTTACATATTAAACCCCCGCACTACAACCGGGCTGCTGTGGAAAGGCACTGTGTCAGGTCCTGAAATCTGAGATGTGTACCTTTAACAAGGTCCCAAATGCTGTGTTTAATTAAATGTGGCCTAACCTTTAACCAACAGAGCATTTATTTGTTGGCAGGGATCACATCAATGAAACAGATCAATAATAAACTCTCCAGTGGGCAGCAAACTTAACAAACTGTGAAATATCTTAACTGACTTAACTGCAAAGAAACGTTTGAGGTGATAGTTAAGATGAGTTAGTGCTGAATTAACTTGTATGTGTCAGGGGAGACCTGGAATTAAAGTAACTTGCTCGAATTGCATTTGTCTTCTGCCTTGCGGCAGATCCGAGGCTGTAAGACCCAACACTCGATTCCGCTTAGTTGCGACGTATTTTTGTTTTAATCTCAATTCCATTGGAAACATAGAAAACACAGAAAATAGGAGCAGGAGTAGGCCATTCAGCCCTTCAACCCTACTTCCCCATTCAACATGATCATGGCTGGTTATCCAACTCAGTGCCCCGAGAACTATATCGAACTCCTTCTTGAAAACATTCAATATTCTGGTCCCAAACACTTTCTGTGGCAGAGAATTCCACACGCTCCCCACTCTCTGGGTGAAGACATTTCTCTACGTTTCAATCCTAAAAGGCACTACCCCATATGTTTAAACTGTGACTCCTGGTTCAGAAGCATTAAAACCACCCTTCCTGCATTTGGCCTGTCTGGTCCTGTTAGAAGTTGAGAAGTTTTTATGAGATTCCCCACCGGAGCCCCATCCCCATTCTTCTAATCAGTGAATACAATCCTAAGCAATCCAACCTCTCTTCATATGCTGGTCCTGCCATTCCATGAATCAGTCTGGTAAATCATCATTGAACTCCCTCCATAGCCAGACCATCCTTCCTCGGATAAGGACACTAAAACTGTGTACAATTATTCCAGGTATTAAACTTGCCACTACATTCCATGTAAAAGTTTCTTCTTGATGAGACTGGGAGAGAGGAATGTGGTGTTGTGGCCAACAACGCCCCACCCTTGGCCCAGGCATTCGGCATAACCAACATGTACCTGTGCCACGATGTTGTACAGGGCACCAGGACTTGGCGTCATTGAGATATGTCAGGTTAAGTGATGCCAGCCACGGCATTTCCTAAAGGAAGTTACAAGCATACAATGTCAGCTGAAATTACTGGGCCTTTACTGAGTCTTAAGCAGGAATAGAACTGTTTTTGGTTTGCTCATTTACACGCTGGGGTTTGACTGGATTTGACTTGGCTTTGGTGCTTGTTATGTTTCTAACGCCTGATTCTCGGGTGTTAGAAACAGTCACAATTTAGGCTCGGAAAGGGTAAGGTTCAATGACTTTAACCCAAATTGCCAAGCTGCCTGGTAGGAAGACTGCTTTAGGACACACATCCTGACTCTCCAGTGCAGCCATGAACATGGTCCCCTGGAACTCTTAGGCATGTGATTCGTTCCTGGGCACTCACCATGTGACATGGATCTGTTCTATAGCATAGCCAATATATTGGACCGGCACCTCATGGTGTTGCTCCATTACCAACATTAATGCCATGAGTACTTTGTACCTGGTCTGAGCAGATGGCGTTTCAACTCCATTGTATTCACCCGGCCTTCAAATAAGATGGGATTTTCCAAAGTTGTACATCTGCTGTGCTTCAGATTTCAATGTTCGAAAGGTAGTGTGATTACAACCAGGTCTATTTAGATCATCACTGTTTCTCAACTTACAGTTCATGTTGATTTGCTGGGACAGTTCAATCAGCTCCATTTCCGTTGGCATATAGCCCATCGTCCGCATACAGTTACCCAGGTCCTTACAGCCAATGAATCCATCCTTGTCTTTATCAAACTCTTTGAATGCGTCTCTCAGCTCTGGCAACAGAGAGCAATTTGATCATAAAGACATGTCATTTAATAAAACAAATCTCGTCTGCCATGAGTATTAGATTAATGAGACCAACAACAGCTTGCATTCAAATACCATTTATATTGTGGGATAATATCTTCAGGCACTTCACAGAAAGTTAATCAAACACAAGATCTACAATGAACCAAGGGCTCAGGGTGTCTGAAAGGTTAGTCAAATCGGTGGGATTTGAGAAGGAGGGGGCGGTGGAGAGATGGAGATACTGCGAGACAGAATTCCAGAAATTAGGGTCTGGAGAGCTGAGGACACAGCCACCAATTTTGAACTGAAGGAGAGGGGAGAGTTACACAACATTCTTCCGGCTTCCTAACATGCTGTGTCTGTTCTGTGATGTTATACTGTACAAATTAGGTTTGGCGCAGTCTCACTGACTGCGCATCCTAACAGTTACACTACAGACAAGCTCCAGCTTATACGATGCTCTCACGTTCTTAAGTTAGGTAGCCCATTGTTTGGGCATCTGCTCTTAGAACTGAAGAACTATTGAGCAGAGAGTTAGGGCAATGTACTTGGAGTTTGCGCAACTTGTGAAGATGGGGTTTGCCGTGTGAATTATGTAGCTACATTCCAATTCATCCAGTATGTCACACACATATTTGTAACAGATATATTCAGTCAGGTGAATGGGGTTGAAAGGTGTGAAAAATGAGAAGCATGAGCTTGGAACACATGACTGAGGAGGAAAGCGAAATGAACAGATTGTGGAAGATCTCTGACAGTTACTTAAAAAAGGGAGGCAGATAGAAAACAGGGAATCCTAGACTGGTTAGCCTGACAACGGTAGTGAGGAAAATGCGAGAGTCCACCATAAAAGTTTTAATAACAGAGCACTTGACAAACAGTAACAGGACGAGACTGAGTCAGCACGGATTAATGAAAATTAAACTGGAGAGTAGTCAGAAAAGATTTACCAGGATGTTGCCGGGAATGGAGGGTTTGAGATATAAAAACAGACTGGGAAGAATGAGACTTTCTTTTCACTCCAGCATAGGAGATGGAAGGGTGACCTTTTTGAGGCCTATAATGTCGTGAGGGATGTAGATAAAGTGAATGACAAGGGTGTTTTCTCTATGGTGGGGGTGTTCAAAACTAGAGGTCACATTTTAAGGTAAGAGGAGAAAGATTTTAAAAAGGACACGAGGCGCAACTTTTTTTTTTAAACACAGAGAGTGGTTTGTGTGTGGAATGAACTTCCAGGGGAAGTGGTGGATGCAGGTACAATTACAACATTTAAAAGGCATTTGGATAAATACATGAAAAGGAAATGTTTTGGAGGGATATGGGCCAAGCGCAGGCAGGTGGGACTAGTTTAGTTTGGGATTATGGTCGGCATGGACTGGTTGGACCGAGGGGTCTGTTTCCATGCTGTATGACTCTATGAAAATGAAATCATGCTGGACAAATCGACTGGATTTTTTCGAGGATATAATTAGTGGAGTTGATCAGGGAACCAGTGGATGTGGTTTACTTGGACTTTCAGAAGGTTTAATAAGTCGCACATACGAGATTAACATGTAAAATTAAAGTGCATGGGATTGGGGATAGTGTACTGACACGGACAGAAAACTGGATGTCAGGAAACAAACAGTAGAAATAAACAGATAACAAGGTGTGGAGCTGGATGTACACAGCAGGCCAGGCAGCATCAGAGGAGCAGGAAAGCTGACATTTCGGGTCTCGACCCTTCTTCAGAGTAGAAATAAACAGGTCTTTTTCTAAGAGCCAACTAGCTCTTGTGAACCCTAGCTATTCACAATATATATTAAAGATTTAGCTGAGGGAATTAAATGCAATATCTCCAAGTCTGCAGATACCAAGCTGGATGGGAGGGTGAACTGTGAGGAGGATGCAGAGATGCCTCAGTGTGAATTAGACAAATTGAATAAATGGATAAGTACATGGCAGATACAGTATACGGTGGATAAATGTGAGGTCATCCACTTTGGGAGCAAAAACAGGAAGGCAGATTATTATCTGAATGGCAATAGATTGGGAAAAGGTGCAATGAGACATGGGTGCCCTTGTGCCCCAGTTGCTGAAAGTCAACATTGCAGGTACAGCTGGTGGTGAAGAAGGCAAATGGTATGTATTGCCTTCAGAGTAAGAGGATTCAAGTACAAGAGCAGGGGTGTCTTGCAGCAACTATACAGGGCCTTGGTGAGACTGCATCTGGAGTACTGCGTGCAATCTTGAAAACATTTATTTTCATCCACTCACTCAACCTGTCTATCTCCCTCTGGAGACTCTGTGTCACCCTCATCACTTGCCTTCCCAATTATTGTTGTGTCATCTGCAAACTTGACTATAATAGTCACTTCCCTCATTCAAGTTATTAATATGTTGTAAATAATTGTGGCCCCAGCACTAATCCCTGTGGCACTCCTCTAGTCACACTGCCAGCCTGAAAATGCCCCCTTTATCCCAACTCTGTCTTCTATTAGTTAGCTAATCGCCTATCCAGGCTAATATACTATCTCCAACACCATGGGCTCTTATTATATTGACGCGCCTTATTTGGGGTATCTTATCAAATACCTTTTGGAAAACCAATTGTATCATATCAACTGGGTCCCTTTTGTCTATCCTGCTTATTACCTCCTCAAAGGACTCAAATAAATTTGTTAGGCAATGATTTCCCCTTCATGAAGCCATGCTGTTTCTGCTTGAACTTATTATATATTTCTAAATGCTCTACAATTACATTCTTTATAATGGGCATTAACATTATCACAATAACAGATGTTAAGCTAACTGGCCTATAGAATCATAAAATCCCTACAGTGAAGGAGCAGGCTATTCAGCTGATGGAGTCCACACCCAAAAAGCATTCCAACCAGACCCGCCCCCTAACTTATCCCTGTGACCCTGCATTTCCCATGGCTAACCCACCCAGCCTGCACATCCCTGCACACTATGGACAATTTAGCATGGCCAATCCACCTAGCCTGCACATCTTTGGACTGTGGGAGGAAACCGGAGCACCCGGAGGAAACCCACGCAGACACGGGGAGAATGTGCAAACTCCACACAGACAGTCACCTGAGTGATAGTTATTATGTTTATTTCTCCACACCACCCCCCCAATTAGCCTCTGGATTGTTTAGTATTTTTGGAATGTTATTAGTGTCCCCTACCATGAAGACTGCTAGTTTACAGCAGTTTGAATTGAGGTCCTGAACAAATGAGCCCGTTTATCAACCATTTCTCCCCCAACATCTCAGAGTCCATTTGGTCATTTCTCCATGCCCTCTCTCTACCCCGGTCAACTCGAATGCTTGGTCTGTGCCTCGTTCTGCGATGAACTCACTGGCCTTAATTTTGGGAAGCATTCAGACTGCTATCATCGGTCTGAGTGCACCAGAATGCGTAGAATTTTGTTGGGCTGTGATGACTCTGCAGCCCAATAGCCTGCTGCTTTAACCTCTTGGAAGTCTAAATATAAAAGAGGTTGGGGAATCTCGCACTGTTTCTCTGGTTAATGGACCAGAGAGGAAAGGAGGAAGCAAATTCAATAATAACTTTCAGAAGAGAATTGTCTAAACTCACGAAATGGGAAACACTGCAGGCGTATGAGAGTAGAGCAAAGCGAGTGAAATCGATTAAACAAATTCTTTTGGGGAGACTGAATGGCCTGAATCAGTCGTGTGAGATTCTACGATATTAAATAGGATATTAAAAACGGTGTTAAATTATGCAGATAGTAGCCATTGCTTTTCATAATGAAATATTGTAACAGCTAGCCAAAAGGTAAGTGTGCGTGGTTCATGATAACACTGTCTTTTCTAGGTGCAGGGTTTCTGAACACCTTTCATAAAAAAATCATACAGTACAGAAGAAGCCCTTCAGCCCAGCATGTCCATACCGTCAAATTTGTTCGGCATGATTTCTAGTTTAACGTCATTCCCTCACATGAAAGCTGCTAAATTCAGGGAAGAATGGCATCTGGGTTAAAAAAACACACTCCATGTGACAGTTGGAAGATACTCTGTAAAGAGAATCCACCAAATATATCCGTGACGATTTGCAGACACTTTCACTTTGTTTGGTTATTAATGAAATATACAGTCAGCGTTTCCTGGAGAATGGTTCTTATTCACGGCATAAGTTAATAAAAAACTGAAATGTTTACCTTCAATTTCCTCTGCTCCCAGCTCTCTGTCCTATTGACAAAACATTTGGCATTAGATATCTCCCATGTACTTTGGTGTGTGTTAAACATTTACAATCGAAATATGATGCAGGATGCATTCAGTTATCTTCAATGAGAAGGTAATGATGTCACTGACTCAATCCTGATAGTACTGGAGTCTGTGTTGTTTATTTTAGTTGAAATGTTAAAAGAGACACTGGGTTGCACAGTGACATCAAACTATCAAACGTGTCCCCTTTTTAAAAAGACCATAAATGATTGAAACCCAAATAATAAAATGAAGAAGTTTTATGCAATTAAATAATAGTCTTGGTACCATCCATTCTGTACTCCAGTCCCTTCGCCACAAGGCAGTCTTAAAATTACCTCCTCACTGAATTAGTTCATTCTTTAAAAACATGCTTCCATACAACATGCAGAATTCCCGACTACCATCCAATGCTCCAAGCAGGGAGCAGCACTGGCAGGGTGCACAGTTTGGATAACTGCCTGTGTTCCCTGGGATGTGTGCAGGAATGCTACTCCCTCCCTGCAAGAGCTGGACAGTGGGATTCACTGCAGACAAACAACAAGCCATGGCCAACCACAAAGACTGTGAGTAATGAAAGGGTGGAAGCTGCGACCGACTGAAATGTAGGTTCTCAGTATAGAGTGCAGTCGGCAGCAGGGAAGTTGTCAAAAAAAAAAATACAGAGGGCACTGGTAATATTCAGCAAATCAGGCAGCAGCTGAAGGGAATGGAAGAAAATCAACATTTCAGGTCACTTGCTTATGTCTCCCTCCACAGCTAAGTATTATCAGCATTCTCAGTCTGTGACTTTCCACAATGTACCCTGTAAACTGTGACCGGAAATGTCGATTCTTTCTCTCTCTGCAGCTACTGCCTTACCCTGCTGCATATCTCCAGCATTTGCTGCTTTCTGTATTTTGTGATATACTTTATACCTTAGGAGTTACATTTGTATTTGTGGGTGGGGAAATGTGTGGGACTTTTATGAACGCAGCTCACCAGAGGTTTAAGTAGGGTTACCTTATGCAAGTGGAGGTCAAACCTGTGTATACAATGGCCGTGGGTGTGACAGAATGTGATACAAGTGCACCTCTCTAACCCAAAAACACTCGAACAATATACGTTTGAGCCTACAGCAGCTCCTAAGACCTGAAATTGTACGAGACTAAGTCTGCACTGGGGGCCACTATTGTGTTAGGTGCAGATGACTGCTGTAGTAGAAACAACATGCAGGATATTCTGTCAGAATGATGGTAACCCTCAGGTGACAGCAATGAAGCAGCTTTCATAGTTGCTGCTAAGATGTAGTAGCATTACCAATTTGCGCACAGCTAGCTCCCACGCTCAACACTGAGAAAGCAGCCAGATAATCCTGGATTTAGTAATGATAATTGAGGGATAACTAAGTTCAGGGAAAACTTCATTGCTGTTTTTCCAAGTACTGCCAGGGGATCCTAGGCATCCACTGGACAGGGGGCCTTGATACAATGCAGCAGCCAAAAGCTGGCACCTCTTGAGATTGCAGGGCTGCCTTGATACTGCCCTGGCCTGAAGATGCCTAGCACACAAATGTTAAAGCTGCTGAACAAACAAAGAAAACACAGTTGAGGAAACAGCTTTTTTACTGCGTGGCTTTGCTGTAAACATTGTAGGAACAATCTTTTTACTCATTTGTGGGATGAGGCTATCGCTGGCAATGCCAGCATTTACTGCTCTTTCCTAATTGCCCAGGGGGCAGTTAAGAGTTAACTACATTGCTGTGGGTTTGAAGTCACATGTAGGCCAGGTAAGGATGGCTGTTTCCTTCCCTAAAGGACTTTAGTAAACCAGATGGCTTTTTCCCGACAATCGGCAATAGATTCATAGTCATCATTAGACTCTTAATTCCAGATTTTTTAAATTGAATTCAAATTCCACCATCTCCCTTGGCAGGATTCAAACCCAGGTCCCCAGAACATTATCTGGGTCTCAGGATTAACTGTCCAGCGACAATACCACTAGGTCATCGCCTCCCCTCCTGTCTCTTGAAGCAAGATTTCCCGTACTCATTTCAGTTGTGATGTGGAGGTGCCAGTGTTGGGCTGGGATAGACAAGGTCAGAAGTCACACGATACCAGGTTATAATCCAACAAGATTATTTGAAATCACACAAGCTTTCAGACTGCACCTGATGAAGGGGCTGCACTCCAAAAGCTTGCGTGATTTCAAATAAACCTGTTGGACTATAACCCTAGCATGTGGCATTTCAGTTGAGCATGCTGATAACAGAAGGCTGTTAAAACAATTCTGCTGGGGGCTATTTCCTCCTCCAATATCAGCTGCCTATCCAGTAATATTGTCGCTTTCATACATCAATGTTAATCTAAGTACAGAATTAAGTGTTGTCTCTAGGTACACTGCTCTGTTGCTTTCTATTGGCAAAATGTGTCCAGAAAACAGAGAGAATCACACAGTGAGATGGCAAATTCTTCAAAATTTAAAACCGCTGTGATAACTTTCTTTAAATCAAACATAATGCTGAGCCATTGCATTCGGGCTGACCACTGGAAAGGAGGGCCAGCAACACGAGAACAAACAATGGCTGTGTTTTCGAGGATTATTCATAAAGATCTATTAGCCACCAGAGAGCACTGTACTTTCACACTCAGCTCATTCATTAAACTCAACTGACAATCACCAAGCAATGTACCTTAACACTCAGATCATTCATAAAGTTCTACTGACAACTGTTAGGAATGAGTGTTGCACTGGAATGTTGTTGTAAATCATTAAATCAGCATTTTTGTAGTTAATACACGCCTTCAGTCCTCTCCCTTCCTATCTCACAACAGTACTGATTCATAAATATTAACAGCTACATCTGTCTCCTGGGACATAATTTGCCTGGAAATTCTCCTCTTCTCTCTTCAGTTTTTGTAGCTAAGGGACAATTACTGAACCCCAGAGGGTATTGGGGCAATTGACAATGGGTGCATGATTGCTGTTAGGCTAGCTTTTAATTCCACAGTTTTTTTAAAAACGGAATTCAAATTCCACCATCTGGCCAAATGCTCTTGTAGTGCAGTGATAATGTCCTTACCTCTGGGCCAGGAGACCTTTGTTCAAGCCCCACCTGCTCCAGACATCTCTAAACAGGTTGATTAGAATATCTTCACCATCCAGCCGCGCTGGGATTTCGAAACCACGTCCCCTGGGTCTACCTGAGATTACTAGTCCAGTGACATTACCACTGGCTTTGCCAGGGGTGAAGACAGTGCCTCCGAAAGGTGCTGGTCAGTCAGCTGGGTCAGCGCCACAGTGAGAGATGGTAGAGTAATCAGTGGATTAGTAAACCAGGCTTTGAGGACATGGGTTCAAATCCCACCACATTTTAGGTTCAATCATTGAGCCTGGATTTGATCCCAGGAGTGATGTGTTCATTGGTGAGAAAGTTGGGAAAATCACATGAAATAGCCAGCAAGGTGCCTCTCAATATCAAGAATAGAAGTTCCATTCTCCTACCTGGTCAGACAAAATTCTCACTAATGAGCAATGAGAAACCTATTTGCATCAATTAGCTTGTATTAACATCTTATTATTACCTTCTCTCACCTCATTAGTATACAGTATTCCCAGCCTGCAAAGAGACTAGACGGTGACATTTCCCAATGTGGAAGCTGGTACGGTTACTCAGGCATTCCAGCTCATTGCTTGCTCTTCCCGACACCTGTCCTGGGCACCAACACCAATATCTCAGTGCACACATCAAGGACAGTGACTACATACACCCTTATCTATGGACCTTGTCATCCAAAACACTTCTTGGCACATCTCCAATCCAGTATGGTTCTCCATTTCAAAGCTGCACCTTGGGGCACACTGGCACCCCTGTCCATGATACTGCTGCCAAGGTACTCTGTGCGTAGGGAGAGGGCAGCTACCTCATGGTTTGGACCAGGCTGCATCTCAGGACTCCTCACTTACTCTCTTAGAGCTCACTCACTTTGTGTTTATTTTTGATGTTCATAGCCAGAACAAACAGACTCACAATACCTGGGTACTGTGTATTATAAGCCCGGGTCACTAGACCCAAAATATTAATTCTGATTTCTCTCTACAAATGCTGCCAGACCTGCTGAGCTTTTCCAGCAGTTCCTGTTTTTATTTTTGTTCACAAAGCCCTTGCCTTGCCTTTGGCCCACATACAAAGCCAGACAGGTTGTCGTGTTTACCAGAAGTGATGGTACTACATAGCACTGCTCTACATCAATCTCACACCTACAGCATGTGCCAGCAGCTTTATGCAGCAAACACACTGTACGTGCCTCAACCAAAGGGCCAGGTGTCAAATTCTGAGGGGACAAGTACTTAGTCAGGCAAAGGGAAACAGCCTGAGGGGGTTCTGACACAGTATGTCAAGGACACTGCCTGCTATCAGTCCAGGGACTTGGTAACAGTCACTCAGTCGCTTGGGTGGTCAGTTGGGAGGGGTGGGTGGTCTTTACCACTATAGTCCAGGGAGTTGGCCACACTCAGCCCTGTGGGTCCACTGCAGCCGGTCTGAGGAGTCTCTGGAAGGTAGTCAGGGATCCGCACAGAGGCTCTGGACGGTCAGCGTTCGGGAACTGTCTGTTTAAATCAGTCAGGATGGGGGAGGGGATTTTTCAGCTACAGTCAGCCCTGAGGCTCCATCCATTAAAGGTTTGAGGGAGGGGAAGGGGGGTTATCAGGAAAGAGGAGCTGGGGAACTCAGTTGTGGGGTCTGAAGGCAGAATGCTGGGATACAGACAGGATAATGGTGCAACTTACCACAGAACACTGATGGAAAGGGGATAATGCAGGAGAGGGCAGGGGTCACCGATAGGCAGCAACACTCTGGTTTGAGTTGGTCAGCGGTGGAACACGGTGGGCTAATATATCTGCTAATGTTGACTTGTTTTGCCTGGAGCTGGGGAGGTAAAGTGGGGAGGTGAAGATTTCGATAAGGCAGGTTTGGGTGGGAAGGTGGGCAATGGATGGGG